GAGCACTACATTTACTCACAAGTGTTTTGAAGGAAAAGCAGCCTTGTTGTAGGGAACATCTGCTTCAACTCTCTCATGCACATCTCTCCTTTGCAAATCAATTTTCCCTATTATCTACCTACCTAAAATGACCTCTTACACACTTTTAAAAATATGTATATATTTGGATTAAGAAAAATAGCATGAAAAGGCCAAACATGAAAAGTAATTGAAGGCATTATCATTGCATACAGGGATAAATGTGTTTGCTGGCCACAGTCTGACCTAGATTTGCCCCTGAAAACACTGCAAACAAAACAGTTTAAAAGCTACTTGGAAGGTATATTGGCAGCTGTGCCTGTTTCTTAGAAAACCTGGGTCCTTGGCTCTGCCACTGGCTCACCGTGAGATCATGGATGAGTTACTTACCCTGCCTGTGTAAAATGTAATTTCTAGTACCTACCTTTCGTTCCAGGAGTGCTGTGAGGCTAAATTCATTAAGGTTTGTAAAGCGCTATGAGATTCTCAGTGGAAGGAGAACAAAGTAGTGTTATCTAAGAAGATGTCTCATATGTTAATTGAATGTGACCTGACACATGGTAAAGCAGTTATATATAATAACACTATTGTAGCATTTTTCGTACCAAAGTATCCCACAATGCTTTCCAATTATATATATGTATTTACATATAACCGAGCACTGCACAGTATGTTGGTGATAAGGAAAAGGGGAATTTTTGACCAAAGATATTAGAGCAAACCCCATCTCTAGCCAAAAGTGCCATGGTATATTCGATGCCCGCACAGGGTAGATGTAACCCACACACCTTCTGGGTGTGGTGTTCTGTCCCAGCTAGTGGCACCAAGACCACTTAAAGAGAAAGAGAAAATGAGTCTGCTCTACAGCCTTAGCTAACAGCCAGTCAGCTTTTAGCTCATGCTATAGAGGCTCATGCACTAAGCTCCAGAGGTTCCCGGTTCGATTCTGTCCACCGGTGACTGGGGTCTGTCCACGTTACAAGTGGGGGCTCGTCCAGGATTTCAGCTGGGAAGACTCTCAAGCTCAGGATGCGCTGCCTCAGCTAGGGGAAGTATGTAACCCACACATCTCCTGGGTGTGGTGTTCTGTCCCATCTAGTGGCACCAAGACCACTTAAAGAGAGAGAGAAAATGAGTCCACTCTACAGCCTTAGTTAACAGCCAGTTGGCTTTTGGCTCATGCACTAAGCTCCAGAGGTCCCCGGTCTGTCAGCGTTACATAGACAAAATATTATATGTTCAGATTTCATTGGTGCTCAGGAAATCTAGCTCAACGTGTAAAAGGAAGACTTGAACCTGTGGTTTCTGAAAAGCTTAGGTGTTGCAAACCTGAAACCTAGACTTTCCACCATTTAGATGAATGAAGGACAAGGAAATTGGGTGGGAAAACAAAATTATATGTTGAATAGCGGTGCCTAAGTCACTGCTCCTGGCGGTACCATTTTTTAAATGATTATTTTTCTTGTTTTTTACTTGCTTGAGAATTACAGACAAGGAGCCCCTACCGGCACCTTCACTGCACTGTGGTGTGTAACACAGACTGTTTCAGAGTGAAAGAGTAGGAATGATGACTTTAAAACAGGCAATTTTTGCCAAGCATGTGCAGTTCAATGCAAGGCACTTATGGAAATGGCTCAAAGACTCTGAAAGGAACTGAGGTCTCGGTTGTCATTAGACTGACGAATGACAGACTTCCATTTGCACATAACAAGCAGAGTATACATATCGAAAGGGCATACAGCTAGGCCAGCTTTTTCAACCCTCAAGTTAGATTCCTGTGACATGCTTTTGGGGTTACCTGAGGAGTCAGGTGAATTACTACCCCCAGCATACAGCGGGAGGGTGCCCTGTCTGTGTTCCACTAGGGAAAACTCTTCCCAGCCGCTGGCTACTGGCAACACAAGCTCCCAGCTCCACAAGCCCCACTCTTTTCCTATGTAAGCTAGCAATTGACACAACCCACTTTTTTACACTCAAGTGCCCAATCCCCTGTCTTCTGGACACCCACAATGTACACTGATCCTCTGCCTCTGAGGAACCAGTGCACCCCACCTGCTGGTTTATTTAACAGAGCTTGAGATAAAGATTCAAATAAAAGGTTTTGAAAACATAAGATTACAGGTAAATGAAAAACATAAAACACAATCTATAGCCTGTACTTATTAACAAGGTACTTTCCTGTCTAATAAGGGATTTCTCACCCAACGATTAGTTCTTCCAGTGCTTGTCCCGCCCATAAAGCTGGGATCCACTGTTCATGAGCCGAGCGCACGCACGCACACACACACACACACACTCTGACACAGAGCCTCCTCTTGTAATGGATAACCACTTGGGCCAATCTTCTGCTCTTATGCAATCCTAGGCTATTGTCTCTTAGCGCCCCACCACCACCACCTTTGAAAACTCTCTTGGGCTTCCTTTGTCTTTGTGAATCACCACCCTGCATCTACTCCAGACAGTAAACACAGGCCGTCTCTGTGGTAGCACATGAATTAAACCTCAGTCTACAAAGTCCCAGAGGACAACCTTAACCACAAGACTAGCCATCCCTCTTTTACAAATATCCTTACTCTAAATTTCTCAAAAGTCCACTGCACCTGAAATCTCTCAGCCATGTTCTCTGGTCAGAAGACAACTTGGGGTCAAAATCTGAAGTGACTTGGTTATGCCATTTTTTATTTAGATTTAATAGATATGATTTGCTTTAGGAAAATTCTTCTAACATTTTTATTGGGCCATATTCCAAGACTGGCTATACTAGAAACTTTACATTTGTTTTATTCAAGATTACTAGCACACAGTGGAAACAGATCTACCCCCTTTCAGTCACATGAGACCCACTGCAACTGACCAGCAAGACTTAGCTGTGATGGGTTCGGTCACAGAGACCCCCTTGGGACTGTCACCTGACATGCTGAAATTACCTCTGAGCCCATTTTCCCTGCCAGCTTGGGACTCCAGAACCCTGCCTTGTTGAGCCAGACACTCTAGCCTGCTGCAACACAGACCCAGGTCTGGTCCACATCCCCAAAGCTGCAGGCTTTAACCAAAAACTGCTCAGCAGATCACCTATCTCCAGCACCCAGACACCCAGCTCCCAATGGGATCCAAACCCCAAATAAATCCGTTTTATTCTGTATAAAGCTTATACAGGGGAAACTCATAAATTGTCCACCCTCTATAACACGGATAGAGGTATGCACAGCTGTTTGCTCCCCCAGGTATTAATCACTTACTCTGGGGTTCATTAATAAACAAAAGTGATTTTATTAAGTATAAAAAGTAGGATTTAACTGGTTTCAAGTAATAACATACAGAACAAAGTAAGTCACCAAGAAAAATAAAACAAAAACACGCAAGTCTAAGCCTACTACATTAAGAAACTGATTACAGGTAAAATCTCACCCTCAGAGATGTTCCAATAAGCTTCTTTCACAGACTAGACTCCTTCCTAGTCTGGGCCCAATCCTTTCCCCTGGTACAGTCCTTGTTAGTTCCATCAATCATCTTAGGTGGAAACTAGGGGTTTTCTCATGACTGGAAGCCTCCTTTGTTCTGTTCCACCCCCTTTTATAGCTTTGGCACAAGGCCGGAATCTTTTGTCTTTCTGGGTCCCCACCCCTCCTTCTAAATGGAAAAGTACCAGATTTAAGATGGATTTCAGTATCATGTGACATGGTCACATGTCCTGTGAGATCCCAGCCTCCATTCTTCCTGGGCTGCCCTACACGTACACAGGAAGGCTTGCAGGTAAATAAACCATTACAACCAATTGTCCTAGTCAATGGGAGCCGTCAAGATTCTAAGCCACCATTAATGGCCCACACTTTGCATAATTACAATACGACCTCAGAGTTATACTTCATATCTCTAGCTTCAGATACAAGAATGATATATGTATACAAATAGGATGAACACACTCCGTAGATTATAAGCGTTGTAATGATACCTTATAAGAGACCTTTTGCATAAAGCATATTCCAGTTACATTATATTCACATTCAAAGCATATTTTCATAAAGCATATGGAGTGTAACATCACAATGGAAACAAAGAAGACCATATCTTTCCTCTTCTCCTTCCAGATACAGCACAAGAACAACACTGTCTCATAGCTACCCATATGATCTGGATAGATTGATAGAAACACATTTACGTGTAATAACTGCCACTAGCAAGGGAAATGGCAGTGTGTAAAAAAGCGGTACATTGCACAACATAAATCTCCTAGCAAGTGCAATTAGGGATTATTATCATTATTTACTATTTATATAGCACTGTAGGAGAACATGGCACTGTATAGTTGGAGAGCCATGCCAAACAAATAACAGGTCACCACCCTGGGGGGAGCACTGACTAGAACAGTACAGAACAAAGAGCACAATACAGTAAAGAAAGGGAGGGGGTGGGAGGGTGTCACAGCAACTGGAACGTGTCACCGAACAGGAGGGGCTTGAGGTGTTTCTTTGGAGTAGGAGGCTTTGTATAAATTCATTTGAAGGCTGCTCCGAGCATAATGGGATATTCAGTCACATGCCTAATTAGGCCCTTGAAAAACCGAATCACACCTTGCCGGGACAGGACACTCCAGTCTCACCAGTATAAATGCCAAGATTGGATATGCTCCAACCAAACAGTGGTCCTAGTGGCACTGGGTCGAATTCTCTGCTGGTGTATATGGGCACAGCTATACTGAAGCCAATGGAGCCAGCCCTTTTGCAGCAGCAGTGAATACAATCCATTATGCCTCCAGAAGGACTTGGGGCGAATGAATAGGGCAGCAGGACTTCAGGATCCCTCCAGTGCATTGATGCCACCAGAGATAGGAACAGGAGTGGACCTGTAGCCTCTGCTAGATACCCCATTTCCTCCAGGGCAACTCACACTAGAACAGCCATTGTTTGGTGCTTCATAGGTATGTTTGGTTCAAATTCGTAATTACCACCCATTAAAATGTGTCTTTTCCCTATTCCCTCCAGGTTGCAAATTTGCTGAGGCTATTCCAGATCCCCCAGATCAGCTATGCTTCCACCAGTGCCAAGCTGAGTGACAAGTCCCGCTATGATTATTTCGCAAGGACGGTCCCCCCCGACTTCTATCAAGCAAAAGCAATGGCTGAGATCTTACGGTTCTTCAACTGGACCTACGTGTCAACGGTTGCCTCAGAAGGAGACTATGGAGAGACAGGGATCGAAGCCTTTGAACAGGAGGCTCGCCTCCGGAACATCTGCATTGCCACCTCAGAGAAGGTTGGCAGGTCCAACATCAGGAAGTCCTATGACAGCGTGATCAGAGAGCTGCTCCAGAAACCCAACGCAAGGGTGGTCGTGCTCTTCATGCGAAGCGATGACTCTCGGGAGCTCATTGCTGCCGCTAACCGATTCAACGTTTCCTTTACGTGGGTCGCCAGTGATGGGTGGGGGGCCCAGGAGAGCGTTGTCAAGGGCAACGAGCACGTAGCTTATGGAGCAATAACCCTGGAACTTGCTTCCCACCCAGTTAAAGAGTTTGACAGATACTTCCAAAGCCTCAATCCTTATAATAATCATCGCAATCCCTGGTTCAGGGACTTTTGGGAGCAAAAATTCCAGTGCAGTCTCCAGAACAGAAAGCCGCACAGAAAAGCTTGTGACAAACACTTAAATATCAACAGTTCCAATTACGAGCAGGAATCCAAGATCATGTTTGTGGTGAATGCTGTGTACGCGATGGCCCACGCCTTGCACAAAATGCAACGGACACTGTGCCCCAACACCACCAAACTGTGTGATGCCATGAAACTTCTGGATGGCAAGAAGCTGTATAAAGATTACCTACTGAAAGTTAACTTCACAGGTAAAAGAAAGCTTTTGTTTGTGGCATGCAGTGTGTGATGTTTGCTAATGTGATTGGAAAAGTTAAATACCTTTATTATTATTTATCACTTATATGATAGGGATCAGGGCCCCTTTGTGCTAGATGCTAGAGTAAAGAGACACTCTTTACATTAGTCCCCGATGCAGAAAGATACTTACATACAGACATAACACTGAGCATGTGAGAAGTCCTATTGACTATGCATGTTATTAAGGACCTCACTGAAGCCGGGCTCTACAGATCTTGCCATTTAAATTGCTTACAAAACGCAAAAAGGTGGGTGAGACTAACATATGGAGGTGGCAGAAGGTGGATAATGTGATAATGATGTTTTCATGGGGACAAGCTGTGCTCACAATGTAGCTCACTACCTGCCTCACCATTGTCACTGGCACTGTTTAGTCTTTTATTAACGTATCACCATAACAAGACAAAGTAGTTCCATAGGGCAAACAAATAGAAAGTACAATATTATAATTCCTTGGTTTTATATGTCTATCACCCTCCCTAGGCACATATATCACATTCACATTTGTATGAATTATTGAAGTGAGTTGCTTGGATGACCTGTCTGATGCAAAGGGAACACCCTGCTGTAATTTGCCTGAGAGAAACCGAGTTTTTCAAAAGAGTACGGCAGAAGCCAGCATTTCTCATTGAGAATGAGAAGTGTTCTCAATGGGGGTAGCTGGGAGATGAGCACTTTCAAAAATCTGTTCCTAGAAATGGTCATAGAATGGATTGGGCCATCCACTAGATAGTTGCATGTGTTAGTTCATCCCCTCCTGAACACATCAGTACATACCATGCACACAAGCACATAGATAATATATGCACAGAATCCCGATGCATTGTGATTACATTTTATTTATTTATTATTTTATGTGTAGCAGGAAATAACATGGTGGTTATATCTTTTTAGGTTTTAAATCTAATGGAAAGGGAGAAATACAAATCTTCCCCCTTTTAACGTGAGCAGAATGTTTTCTATTTATTTTGTTAATTAAGCCAGATTTTGAATCCCTTACTCCCAATAATGTTCAGTTACTCATCTAACTAGTTCCACTATCCAGTCAGATGACTCAGATAAGTAACAGCTCACCAGTGAGAATGCATAATTCATAATCTTTAGTTTATTAGCAAGCATTTATGTTAAACTCTAGTTACTTTTATGAAATTAAATTCACATACTACTAATAGAGTCTAACATCACAGACTAATAAACTGCTACCCAATCAAATTCAAGATCACAAATTAAAGTGAGATGGGAAACAGTTTTCCCATCCTGCAAACATTTTTGAGATTTTGAAAAAATTTTACATCCTGAATTGGGACAAAAAGTTGAAATCTTAGACATTTTCGCTAACTGAAAATAAAAAAAATTGGTTCAGGCTAATAAAAAAAAAATTATGTTATTATTTTGATTTTTTTATACTATAAATTAAATTTTTAAACAAAACATTTCATTTTGAAAATGTAAAAACGGGATGTTTTGACAATGTTGCAACTTTTTTTTTAAAAAATTGCTCACAACAGGAAATTCATTGAAATCAAGCCTTTCCCATTAAGTTTCAGTTTCAGTGAACTGGCATTTTCAGATGAAAAAAACATTTTGTCAAAAGATTTCCTACCAGCTCTATTGCAGAGGTGTCTCATTGGTATTATCAAAACCAATGAGCTACACCTGCTGTATGATCTGATTAATTCTTATTATTTTGGAGTCAGTTCTCAGTTATAAACTGGGATGGGTGAAATGCTAACCCATTGAAGCCAAGGGGAGTTTTGCTATTGATTTCAATGGGGCCAGGATTTCACCCATGATCTTTACTAGTTGCTGTTAGGCTCTGGGTGTGACATTAATACAGTCTGTACCAGATACTAGAAATCTTTCAGAATACAATTACCTGGCATTTTTTGACTACCCACTTGCAAATGTCATTAACACTGCTGCCCTTTAGACCTATCAGAGGCTTGTTGCTTCATCTTGTCACCGGCTATGTAAATTCTACCTGCATCCATTCCATGTATAGACCACACATTGTATTCTGGGAATTTCAAGGGCAGATCAATTGCAGCAGCATTTGGGATTACATTGTTTGCAACACAAAATCACACCAAAGGACACATCCAAAAATGCATCCCAATGGGGATGGAGGATGGTGTGGAACTTACTTACCCGGCACTTATACCAGTGCCAAGTCAGAGTCTGAATGCTGAAGTTTCCTTAGCCTTGTTAATAGTTCATGACTCTCCAAAAGAATCAGGAAAGAAATGTAATAAGGACGATAATCATATTCAGAAATACACACACAAATAGTTATTGAATACTTTAGAGTTGTTAGGGAGAACACTGCCCCACCATCTGTGCTGAAAGCCTGTAGTACAGATGGACAAGCCTTGCAGGCATAGAAGTAGGTGGCCGGTATTCATGGTTTGTCACCCTGTAAAGACCCAAATATTGATCCTTATTACACACTTCCAGTTTTTACAGATTTGTAAGTTGCATCTTCATATATGCCAGCTAACACCAGTTTGACTATATGTAACTTATACCACCAGTATATGTAGATGCAATTCAAACCCCGTGACAATAGCAGAACAATAAAGGCATCACAGGAATATGTAAGATAAAACACAGCATGGGGGAATTAGTATATGGTATAATGGTTAGAACAGAGGACTGGACATCAGAATTCCTACTTTCTAGTCCTAACTCTGTCACTGACTTGTATATCATTTCTGAGGCTCTGCTTACCCATAACACATTTGCCTGCGTCAGAGGGTTTTTGTGTGACTTTAAGTCTGTTACTGAGTGACCAGAGAGGTTGAAGTGTTCTCCTACTGGTTTTTGAATGTTATGATTCCATGTACATTGGTACATTGGCCAGTCTCTACGCAAAAGAATAAATGGACACAAATCTGACATCAGGAATCATAACATTCAAAAACCAGTAGCACACTTCAACCTCTCTGGTCACTCAGTAACAGACTTAAAGGTGGCAATTTTGCAACAGAAAAGCTTCAAAAACAAGACTCCAACAAGAAACTGCTGAACTTGAATTAATATGCAAACTAGATACCATTAACTTAAGCTTGAATAGAGACTGGGAATGGTTGAGTCATTACAGAGTGAATCTATTTCCCCATATCCTCACACCTCTTGTCAACTCTCTGAAATGGGCCATCTTGATTATCACTACAAAAGTTTTTTTTCTTCTGCTGATAATAGCTCATCTTAATTAATTAGCCTCTTAGAGTTGGTATGGCTACTTCTACCTTTTCATGTTCTGTATGTATATATATCTCCTTACTATATGTTCCATTCTATGCATCTGATGAAGTGGGCTGTAGCCCATGGAAGCTTAAGGTCAAATAAATTTGTTAGTCTCTAAGGTGCCACAAGGACTCCTGTTCTTTTTGCGGATACAGACTAACATGGCTGCTACTCTGAAAGAAATCTGGTAATAGCTCTTCAGTCTAGCAGACAAAGGTATAAGACTATCCAATGGCTGGATGCTGAAGCTAGTCAAATGCAGACTAAGAGCAAATTTTTAACAGTGAGAGTAATTAAATACTGGACAGTTTAACAAGGGTTGTGGTGGATTCTCCCTCCCTGGCAATTTTTAAAACAAAATGGGCTGTTTTTCTGATCTGCTGTAGTTCAAGCGCAGTTGTTGGCCATGAAGCAGGAATTAATACAGGGAAGATGTATGGCCTGTGTTATGCAGAAGGTCAGACTAGATGATCCCTTTGGGCCTTAAATATCACTGCACATTAACCTTTTTCAGCAGCATGAGCAGAGGGAGGAGATAACTCAATTTCTCATGTCACGCTTCCATCGGTGTGAATGGAGGGAAGAGTAATTTATATCCAGATGCTCACCGCGAGTAACTGGATGGGAGAACTCAAAGCCCAGTTCATATATATAGATACACACACCCTTACCCACTCCTTAGTTGTTGGCTGAAGTCCCATAAAGGCAAAGACTGACTCCACTTCTGATCTTTAAAATCCCCATAATCCCCCCTGAAAACAGAAGTATAATACTTAGTGTTCAGATGTCCCTGCGTCACAGTCCCCTGTAGCACAGTCAGTTGAGTCATGGGATGTTGGTGTTGGAGGATCCGGCTACAGTGCTTGCTGTTGCCTAAAGCTCTGAATGGCCATGGTGTGCAACCAAGTGACAGCCCCAGAGTCCTACATGCCATTTGTATTATGCACTGTAGCACTGAGACTGGATGATTTAGTGGATTGCACATGCCATGCATACCCTTTCATCTCTAGGTCCCATCACATGTAGGTTAGTGGTAACCAAACATTCATATGATGGGATAGCAGTTTAATGGCCTACGTACATTGAATTGGTGGTATCTGTCCACTAGTCCAGTCCCATCATAAAAAACTGCCATTACAATTGGCACTAATGGGTAGCTTCCTTGACAATCTGAGCAAAAGGCACAAGGATTGAATGGAACTGGAGATTGAACTACCCTCTTACCCTTTCAGGTAGTCTTTGCTAGTCAAGGCTGAGGTACAGTGGGTCCAGCAATGTTCATTGGGAGGGATAGATCAGTGATTTGAGCATTGGCCTGCTAAACCCAGGGTTTTGTGAGTTCAATCCTTGAGGGGGCCAAAAAAAAAAAAAAGTTGGGGATTGGTCCTGCTTTGAGCAGGGGGTTGGACTAGATGACCTCCTGAAGTCCCTTCCAATCCTGACATTTTATGATTCATATGCCCTATCTGCTTTATGAACAAACACTCAGATTTCAGTGGGAGTTAGGTGCCTAAATACTCTTGAGGATTTGGGCCAAAGTACGTCTGTCTCCAGATGCCACCAACCTGCTGCCTGGCATGAACACTAAACTCCCCTATTCAACAAAGAAGGGAAAATGCAGCATTACACAGACACTGAGCAGCAAAGATGCTTCACAATTCTCAAAGGACTCTGGGAAGTATGTTGCAGTTGGCCAGCACCCAGC